TGATTTTTAACCACTGTACCAAACAGACCCTAAGGCTCCCATGGTCACACAATTGCAGTTTCCATCTATTTATGAGAATCAACCTTTAATGGGGGAGTCATCTTCACATGCACCACAAATGTCACCTTTACTTGTGGAAACCTCACACTTACCACTCAAGATGAACAACCTTATCTTGCCCACAACCACACCTCTTACTTTTAACATGCCACCTTTGATGGGACAAGTGCTAGCTATTGAACCCACCCCCTTGGTTGAGATGTTGTGGCCTGTTTTAGAGGATAGGAGATCAAGGAACGTTGATCACAAGTTGCAACAGTTAGAAGAGGCTTTGAAAGTGATGCAAGGCCCACAATCTTATGGTTCTATTGATTTAGATGATCTCTGCTATTATTCAAGAATCTAGACGAATTTCAAGTTCAAACAGTCGGATTTTGACAAGTATGATGACTCAGGTTGTCCTTATGCCCACTTGCAGATGTACGCCAAGAAAATGGCACCTTATGCTAATGATGAGAGGGTGCTCATTCATTAGCTTGCAGATAATTACCAAGAAGAGTAATGAGACCTTCAAGGAATTTGCTCAACGATGGAGATCCAAAGCAGCTAAGGTCATTCCACCTCTCACCGTAGTGAAATTTGCTCTCTCTTTATTAAGTCGACTACCAAGACCTTCCGTGCATGGTTAGCTCCTTGTGTGGGATATACTTTTGCTTAGCTAGTGACAACGGGTGAACAAATTGAAGATGGACTTAAGACAAGCATAATTATGGACTTTCAAGCCATCCAGAAACAGTGAGAACAAGTCAAAATGGGTAGTGCAGGATCTACTTCAAAGAAGTTTGCATTCGGAGGAAAGAAATAAGATGAAGAAGCTTTCAGTCATATTTCCACTTGTCATACAAAACCAGTTTATAATGTGACAAAGATTCCTTATAATCGACAGCTTCAATTGCAATACACTTCGGCCTTTAAGCCTACCACCTATCCTCAGAAGAGGCCAAACTTTAATACTCAAGCTTTGACTAAGCAACAATTCCCATCGACTAATAGGGCAAGGCAATTCACCAAGCTTCCAATCCCTTACAATGAGGTGTTAAAATAATTGGTGGCAGTGGGTTTGGTGGAGACATTGTAAACGTACCGTATTCGACCACCTTATCCACATTGGTATTATCTGTAAGCTAAATGTGAATATCACAATGTAGTGGGTCGTAGTATTAAACATTGTATAGCTTTGAAGTATAAAATTCAAGATCTCATCGACGAGGGTAAACTTCAGCTTGATGCTAAAGAAGTCGAGAGCACTCCGAACATCACTCGAAATCCTTTACCACTTCACGATGTAGGCACAATGAATATGGTCGCCCTTGATGAAGTTGAAAAGCTCGTGTTGGAGAATGCCAGTTTTTGGTCTCTTGATGAATTGTTTGCCATTTTGATAAAGTATGATTTGATTCAACCGATTGTGCAAATGAGCTTGAATGTTTCACGTGTGACGATTGATGATGCCTTGGTGTGTCCTTACCACTCAATATGAAGGGGCATACTTTGCAAGATTGTGAAGATTTTCAGAAAAAGGTTAAGGAGTTGTAAGCAATGGGATCTTTGAAGTTTATGTCTGCTCAAGAGTCAGAAAAATGTATAGCATAGTTTAAGGAAGTAGCTGTGGATGATATTATTGATGAAGTCTATTCTGATCATGAGGAAGACTATTTTGGCTTCAACAACCTCTTTGGGCCAGCCAACATGACAGATTCTAGGGAAAGGTGGAAGAGGATGCTCGTTGAAAGGGCATCCATAGAGAACCACCCCAGCTTCCATCTTGTTCATCATGTGAAAGCTCCAATGGGTTCACATGAGTCTATGCTTCTTGGAATAAGGGAAGAAGAATCACTATGCGACTCATGGAGAAATTTGACTATAAATGCTTTAGATGAGGAAGAATTGGAATTTAATAGGGGAGTTTCACTAATCAATGGAAGCTTTCAAGCTAATTGAACAGCGAAACTTCACCTTGTAGCTTTCATCTCTGAGTAAAAGGAGTCAGCCTCTAGTAGTTTTGCTTGTGACTATGTGAAGGGAGGGATTCCACAAGCACCTTTATATTTTCTAAAATTTATGTTATCATACTTCTAGTATTCCCATGCTTTCCTTTTCAATGAAACATGTTGCAATCCTATCTATCATTGTAAACATCATCATGATGTAACTTTACTTAAACTTTTATTGTACAAACCACTCTTTAATGATATATTTCATAAGGTTATCCAGTAGCATATTCTTATCATGTGGCCATTTATTTACTTTCATCCAAATTTTCAAGCTTGCTAATGATGAATCTTCAAATAATGATGCTATGTCAGACTTTATATGTGAGATGGATGATCAGACCTATAATGAAGAAGACAACGAAAGTCTTGATCCCTCTCATGAACTAACTCAAATGTTAAGAGAGGAAAAAC